CGTGATCCTCACTGTGCCTGGTTGGAGACACTACAAGATATGGCTGCCAACCGATGTTAGTGGCGTTCTTGTTGTCAGTTTCTGTCCAGATTGCCTGAGTGAATGTCTGGAGGTGTATGCGCCTCGGAATGATTGTGTTAAGCTAGCACTAAGTCCCTCCCCCGTCCATCTATATTCTTTTCTTCACAATAAGCCTTTCAAATAAGTCATGGTTGTACGGCAGTGAGGCATCGGTGTTGAACACTGATGTCATGCTGTCGATGATGATGATGATGATGATGATCATGTTGGGTGCACAGTTTTGAATCTCTTGCCAAAGGATGGCTCCGTATTTCTTTTGTACACTCTGAGATGTTTATGCACGGCTTATCCCCTAGTGATCGAAGCTGTTGTCTTCAATTCATAGCTCCCTTCTCAACCCCCCCCCCCCACTTAACATTCCACCTACAGTACTAAGTTCAAGTACTAATCTGTCAGCTCCCGCATCCAATGCGCAGCTATCTACACCACGTCATCAAATCATCGGCGAACGAACTTGTGGCAGCTACAACCACTGTACGACAAGTACGTGGTTAGTACAGTTGACAATAATAATGATGATGATGATGAGAGTCACCTGGTAATATCTCAGCCTATTCCCCTATACTGATGACTTGGCGGCTATAGATAGAAAAGTTCCACAGCTGAACAAGGAACACCTTCTGCTGCATGCCGCTTCACTGGATATTGCCGTACTTGTCCTCCATACATCTTCTTTTCAGATTCCATGCTATTTTGTGGCCAGCCCTTTTGATGGCCGTAGACCTACCTCTTCCACGACATCTAATCTGCCACGGGCATCTTTTGGTTGATGGAGAAAAGGTGAGTAATTAACGAACAACCGTGGATTTTCCGGACTTGAAATGTATAACAGACAATTTATAATAGTCAATTTATGCAATCATCCCCACGATCAGTTACACGAGATTGAAGGATTTGTGAAAACACGAAGTAGAAGATAATTTCTAACGTAGGCAGTTTTGAGGAAAAAACGGGAAAACTAGTGCATTTCGGCAGCTTGTGATTGAAACCTAAGAAGAGTGACTCGGTATGTCGGATTTCCAAACTGCTATGGGAGTGACAAGAAAGGATCGAGTTCTGCGGAGCGTTTATCCTGATAGTAACAGCAAAACAGCGAGGGAGTAGAAGGTTGTTGTCAAGTAAGGGGTGTCATCAGTGGAACGTATGGTGTTCTTCAATGTAAATCACACATCTGGGATGAACAAAAAGGAAAGTGAAAATACATCTGCTTGGTAGTATCCATACTGACTTCAGCGCGAATGTAGTCAAATAATTTGAGCGTTATTAGTACCATTCAGCTCCATAAACCAGGAAAAGGCTGGACAGCTGCAGGGAGCTACACAGTAATATTTGATAAATTGTAAGTGGTCGCAGGATATGTAGAATTCACGTTCATATTGCAGTCATCCTCCTATCCTGATGCGATCATTCTGGTGGTACCAGGATACTCCCTAGCAAACTACCACAGCAGAACGTCGCTGTGCAGAAGTTTTGGCCACTCGCTCTAAACCAGCGTCCGTGCCCAATCAAGTTGACGGCCAACAACTGTCCCCTGTCTGGATAAGACTGATCAACAGCAAAAAAGCACGAACACGCAAGTGTGGCTCCCTAAACCTGTACGTAAACCACATGACCAAACATGAACATAACGACTCAGTGTAGCACAGAAAATCTTGACTGTTTGAATGTTGGCACAAGTTAGCACTTCTTTTCTTGTCTGTGTGATTGATCATCTCGCTCTAGATGACCGACGTTTTATTCTTTCCCGATTACCGTACCAATGAAAATATACCATTTGGAAAATTGCTTCCTTCCGAATGAACGTCATCCATTTAGTAGCATACTTGTGCTGTTAGGTTGCTCTCGACCTGTTGTACACATGGCAACGACGTCGGTATCTGCTGGATGTATTGTATCATCAGCTCATAAATTACCAGTTCACTACCGTGAACCGGTTTCCACTTCTTTTATGTTGCATCCTAATCCCCGAGTTCGTTTATGCAATTCCCCTTTGGTGTTACTTCTATGAATCTGGTAATCCATAATTCTAACTTCATTGCTTCTGAATTTGAAAACCCGTGTGTAGGTGCCGTCTTCGAATATAAGCGAGTATGACGTCGAAGACACTAAAAACCGAGCGTATCACACATCCACCATGTTTCTTACTCCCACTGATTGTCGGTCTTGTTGCAACCTTTGGATTTCTACGGACAAACCACGCTATTAGTTAGGACAATAAATTGGGCGGGTGCCACTGTTGTCGATCTTTCACTGAGGAAGCCGAAGGTGTCAAAGAGATTAGGTCCAACTTTATCATTATTTCGATATGGATGAGCACGAAGTACAGATATGTCCAAAAACAGCTTGACTTGAGGCGGGTGTGACTAAACACTAGGCGGAGTAAACCGTTGTAGAGTCATTAAGAAAATGAACTGATCTCTCAGCCAAGAAAAGAAAGATGATGTGATCGGAAAACCAGGAAGTGTGCGGATTTTCCGACAACACGTTCATTTTCCTCAACAAGCGGTTTGGTCCAGTTCATCATGTTGGAATATCGTCCACACACCGGTACTCAAGCAATCAGGTTAGCTTGACACACACGATCACTAGCCCTTGAAACTTTAGGGCTCGATCAAATGATACCACGACAGACAACCGGATTCGTAGAACACATCCCAACCCCCCGCCAAGAATGACCACGGCTAGCTTGTACCGGTGGTCGCTCGGGAGGGCACTGTTTTCCAGATAGCGTAAACATCGGTCAGGATGGAAGAATGGACAATAGACCACACCGAAGTTCCCGTTCCAAGTATCGTTTCCAACAAATCCTAAGTCAACATACCCCAAACGGCGCAGTCCATGGCATTTTTCTTCACATGCCTGAATTTGAGATATGTTTGGCTTTTCGTAGCTAACAGTCACACGACCACAAACAGAGGCGCTGGTGAAACACGCATAAACATTCCGTTTTTTTCTCCATCTTTAGATGTCCAAAAGCCGTGGCAATGTGATCGACCCCTTCTCTGAGCGCCTACGCTTAGTGCCAAAGGTAGATACGCCAGGTCGTGCAGACTCTGAGGGCCTTCGTTATCTGTTACTTCGATCTGCTCTTCTGTCTAGTGATGTTTCATACAGCCCCGCCCTTGCCAAGCAGGTGATTAATTCGGAATTGGTGAATTGCCTGGGAAATTTGCTGTCGCGGTAAGTTATTCGGTTCGATGGATTTCGCCTTTTAATTGCTTCAGTTCCATTCTTGACCTGTATTCGACGGCTTAACTTTATAGGTGAATTCTGGCTGCTGTTGACGACTTGCTTATGTCGCCCATCTCAACTGAACCTATTCCATTCATTTCTATTGTTGAGTTTAAATTATATTCTGCTGGCCTTCCTTTTCTTATGTTGCCGCGCTAGTGCGGCTTTTCCTCCCTGTCGTCGTTTTCAGGTAGATAGGAGTCATTTATTTCACTAACAGATTTGTTTGACTCGATGGCAAATGTCAGCTAACTAGTTTGGGACTTTGTTTAGTGTCATACAGGCTCCGTGTCTACTGAATTTGATTTGTCGGCCGATTGATCGCTTCCCGGATGTAGTTAAACTCCGAAAAGAAATTCTTTTTATTGAATTGGGGGATCATCGGTTTATGGTACAATTACAATGTTTGTTAGAGCCCTATTATAACTCACAGACCCGCGGGAAAAGTCATTTAGCTGTAACACCCTTTCGGTGAATAGCTGCCATGCCACCAAATGAAGCACGAGGGCTGGGTTACTGCCAGGTAGCCCAAGCCTAGACAGGGGAAGTCGAGAGGCAGAGGTCAGGTTCGAACCACGGACCTTCTGGTCAGTAAATTTGTGTTCTAACCACTGAGCCATCTCTCCCCCACTATAGGTATAATCCCATAGTCAGCGTCTAATCAAGATACTGTATGCTCTGATGCACTTAATTATCGATTTTTTGAACAGATTGAATGACGGAATCGCGGTTAGTCTATCTAATCTCCGCACCCAAAACTCACCTGCCTTGGTCGATCAAATTCATGCTGTAGTTTGTCTTCTAAAAAATAAAATCGTTTCGTAAACTCGTATGCTTCACTATTCTAACAAAATACGTCAATTTGTTAACCTCACAAGCAGACTACACGATGGGTCTGTATGATAAGGCGCCGCTGTGAGGTGATAGGACCAGTTGCTCGACCATAACAATCGTAACGGCTGTCCTCTTTGGATCAGGGTCAGCTATGCTCTGCGGATGAACTGTGGTTGCCAATCCAAGCACGGTGTATGTAGCAGAAACATTCTAATATGGAGCTTCTGGATTCTGTGTACACTTTCTCGGCGCGTTGGACACCTGTTCTTTCGTTAGCCAAATCCTTTCGCACATCATACATGAAAATGTGGGGATGTATACCATAGTTCTTTTAGAAATCATGCATCTAAAGTTGTATCGTCGTACCATCTGGTATCCGCGTAACAGTTATTTTCATGGGTCGGCTGCTTGGGCCGAATTATCTGCGCTACACTGGAGAGATATATATCCATTAAGGGATCGAACATCCCTTCCTCAAACCCAACTGATGAGCTTCTACAAGGGTGAATAGCCTCGTATGGCTGAGCTTTTCGAGATCCAGCCACACGCCCTTTAACCATGGCAAAAATTTTTCAGCTATTCAATGTTTACGTGGCATAACAAAATGACTATTCTACGCTCATGCACCCACCGAATTACGCCTTTTTTACATTTGACATCTCCACAGAATAACCTCTGTCAGTATTAATCCAAATCAAGCCATTGTTAGAATCAACCGTGAAGAAGCTGAAGCGCTTTTCGGTGGATCCGATCAAGATGCGGAACTACTTAAAGGGTGAGTTGGTTTCGGGTTAATTGTGTGAACGGGTATTACTTTAGGTCTTACACCTTAAAACTTCATGGACTTTTTATCTCACTGATGCCGATTAGTCACCTTTATCTTATGAGGTCGGCTGGAGATAACGCTGTCAACGTTTCTCATGTATCCCCCGTAGGGTACCACAGGTCAAAACTGAACTAGAGGGGACTGTTGCATATGGTTTTACTACTGCGGATACTTGTGGTCAACTAGCGTAATTGTCTTTATGCGAGTGCTGAATCCATGTACACATGTGCGCACCATTTTAATGAATCTTATGGGGTGTCATCAGTTTCTCATTCGGTCACTTGCTAATCCGCGACTGATATCTATGCCTTTCCGTTGCTTGGCTATTTAACACTACGGGGAAAAGGGGAATTCATATTTTAGGGGACTGGGAGAAGAATACTGTCGTGTACTCCATGAGAATGGTCTTTCTTCTTAAGAGCAGTGTAAGGGGAACGAATAGCTGTGTAAATGTCCCAGTTATACCTTTCACGTAATGATGGGACGATGAATTGAAAAGCCTGCGAACGACTAGTTCAGACTGTCGCCCTGGCGCTGACGTCATGTCAGATTTACCCCAAGTTGTCAGTCAAAGAAAGCAAACGGGACTGATGAAGATTGTTTTACAAAGGCGATTTCCGTGGAGTATACCAGCAAATCATTGCTCAGCTGCTTTTGTGATTCGTCTCCCTGTCCTCAATGAACCAGTCTTCCTTACTCCAGAACAAAGGTGCCCAAGCGCCTTGTTAGACCGGAATGCATCCAAGATGATACACGGAACCGCTTCCTAGCATGCAAAGACGGCTTTTGTAGGTACATGAACTCAGTTCAGAAGATTCTCTGACTACTTGTGGATGGTTAGTAAGTTTTGTATGAATAGTCATCGCTAAACCCGTCAATGCTGCTGGCAGGACCAAATCTGATGTGAATTTGCAAATAATGACCTTTTTTAAATTCAGTCACTTGTGAGTCAACCGTGAGTAAGCATCACTTACATAGATGAGCTCGAGATAGCTCAGTGGTTAAGGCCACTTGTGAGCAACCGTGAGTAAGCATCACTTACATAGATGAGCTCGAGATAGCTCAGTGGTTAAGGCGCCAATTTACATACCGGAAGGCCCGTGGTTCTAACCCAACCTCAGCATCTCGACTGCTCCTGTCTGGGCTTGGGTAACCCGGGGGTATCCCAGATCTCGTATAATATATATATATATATATGCCACCCGAAGCTAGCACGAGGGCTGGGATACTGCCAGATTGCCCAAGCCTAGACAGGGGAAGTCGAGAGGAAGAGGTCGGTTTCGAACCACAGGCCTTCCGGTCAGTGAATTCGCGCTCTAACCACTGAGTCATCTCGACTCTCCTGTCTTATAGTAGCTAAACACCAGAAAGGTGCCACAGCTGAGCGGTTATCTTTTTTGATGCTGGGTTCGTTGTATTTCTGGTATTTTACTCGTCTGCCGTATGTCGCTGACATCTCACTCGTTCTTCTTATCAAGAATGGACGCACTGGCTGCGGCATTTGATGAAATGTGGTGGCAGAATGGACAGCCTCATCTGGCCATAGAACACGTGCTTTCGATCCTACGAGAAGCTAATGCCTTTGTCGACCGCCATAAACCCTGGGACAAAGAAGCTGCTGTGGAGCCAGAGTTCGTGATTTCAGTGGCAGCCGAATGTCTTCGATTGACAGGACTTTTGTTGCGACCGGTAGTTCCGCGTTTATCAGCTCGCCTACTCCGTCGCCTAGGAGTGGAGAAGGAAGACGATGCAGATCACCGCAAACAGCCGCAGGACCGATATTTCTGGGACTTGGGATCAGACAAACGGCCATTGTTGCAGCGACTCACTTAACTTTCGTCTAGTGTTGTCTGTACAGCTTGATCTTTTACTGGTTATTTTCTAGGTTTTTGTGAGCTTACTAGAGCGAACCGGCTAGTGATTTCCGGATATGCTGTAGAACAACATGATTGATTCCGATGAAATATTTTTCATAACCACGTTGAGTTTGTTTGGTCAGGCGATGCAGTTGCACCGGTACGAAAGCCGCTTGGTTCCATTATATTCATCCGTTAGATTCAGCTATAATCAATTCGTTTATTAACGGTAAAGCTGGTTTCATTGTGTTCGGGAATAGTTGGATTGTTTCCGACTAACGTCAACCACGCCAGTCCAGTGAAGTTGCTTTTTCTTCATCGTACAGTAGGCTTAATAGTCAAACAAACGGGTGAGCATCTGTATAGCGTAGTCGTCGTTGATAATTCGGCTAAAGACTGCCCATTATCCATTCTCCGTTTTCAACACAGATGACGGAGTTCCACAAAGTATTAAACTAGGTGTCGTTGACTTCTATCACTAGTAACGACTTTAAACTAAGACACTGTTCGTGCAATCGGT